GGAACGTATTTGCAATGAGACCGGGTAGATTTTTATTGATAAAGCCATTTTATAATAAAGATTTATTTGAATATTATGAATTAATACAGAAGAGAATAAATGCAATCTATGGTGTTTGTGATGCAGGGATTTCTTGCTCAGAGACTGTGTGTTGCTGGTGAATCTGATCTCTACTGGGCTGGGAACAAGGATGGGAATCTGAATCCCAAAGACAACTGTGCTGTTCTTAAAGGAAATACACAAGAAAACATTTATTGCTTAAGAGAAGAGAAGAGCATTTGTGAGATCCCATGCCTTCAATAAACCTACAGTATAGATTACTTATTTTTTACAGTTGACTTTTTGTTTTATTTCACTCATTTAAATATAAGAGGTTGCTACATTTGATATAATTTCTTGTTTACTTGTTTTCGCATTTCCATACTATGCCATGTTTGATATGGGAATCTACCAATATATCGTACTTTTCATAGTTTTTCATATTATCATAGTTTAAAAAAGTGTTTAGAACTATGAAGTTCTAATGACAATGTGTAACACATACACATACACACACATACATAAATGTATAGTGTACAATATATATAGCCTATGTATATATATGTTTAGTTTGTTTGTTTGTTAATGCATTTTGTAGATAAAAGATCTAGCATAGGAATGAGAGCCGTCAGCTATGGCATCTGCAGTAAAGGCTTTCACACCTGGCTCGTTGTTTCGGAACCTGGCGCATTTCCCCCCTTAGCTCGGTTCGTTTGGGCATATGTGAACACGGCAATCGCGCCCGCCAAAACAATCGGTCCGAGATGGTCTGAACAAGGTGGTCTCGGCTCGATTGAAAACGAACTCTGGAGCGGTTCGGTTGTAGTAAGAAAGCAGTTCGATCTAACGGACCAACGAACCAGGCTATATCACAATGTATAATGGGTAATTACGTAAGTTCCGTGAAAAGCATTAGCTTTGTTGTTTTGCTAATACTTCAAAATGAACCTGTGAATGTCTGTGGGTGAGCACGTCTTCGCCATTCAAAATAAGGACAGCTACAAAAAAAAAAAAAATGGAAACGTCCACTTTTCTGTCCCTAGCCCTTACAGAAATATTACACTTGAAAAACAATTTAGTGTTACAATTTTTTTTATATTTTAAAATAAAACAATGTGCTATTTGAACAATTACACCCTCTTGAGCCATTAATGTGGCAATATTTATTTTTAATTAATTATAAAAAATTCCAAGCACCACAAAACTGCTTGTCCCCACAGCCATGTACAGAGGAAAAGTGCTTTATTTTGAGGTCAAAAACAGGTTTTTCTACCATTTAAAATACAATGATGTATTCATAACTATCAAATATATGATGTAAATGACATAAAAAAAACAAAATGCCAAATAAATATTATAAAATATATAATGAAAGTAGTGGTCCCCTGGAGTTGTCTGTCACATTCTATAAAATGTGTCACATGTGACATGATAATAATTTTACATCCATTGAATTCTGCTTCACTCAAGAGTTAAGATGTAAAGGATTGCATCATTACTTGTTTATAACTGTTTTTACAAATATTTTCATTGTTATAGCAAATACATAGTTGCGCAAATGAACTAACATCATTCAATCACACTTTTAACAAACCTGATTAAAATAAACAAAACATAATCTCCTTACTTGTTGCATTATCATTATTGTTCTGTAACTCTGACTACATGTACTAAAACATTTAGAAATAATATTTCATAAAAACCTTTAAAATTGCCAGAGAAGTAAGGTAACACCAGTGACAAAAAAAAATGGTACATGTGATATTTAAATAAATGCACAAAAAATATAAAAAATCATTAAGCTGTCATTTATGTGTATTCATAAAGTCAAAAGATAATATAATAATGTGGTCTCAGTTTAAATGTTAAAAACAGAAATACATTTTAAGACATCTTGCCATACCAAAAGTGGACGTTTCTGTAGAATGACCCTGCCGTGACAGCTAAGTGGAATCCCGGAAAATAAACAGTTTACTCGCGCGTGACTTGTATTAACAAATTTGGTCCGTTTAGAAACTTTTCCGTGTGAAAACGAACCGCACCAAGAATAAAAATCAACATTGTAATAATTTTAATCCCTGTTTCAGAACAAAGCAATCAATCTACAGGTGTGAAAGCACCCTAAGTCTCCTGAGCTTAGGAAAAGCATCTACAGGTGTGAAAGCACCCTTATTAGAGTGCGTTTGGACACTTTACCATGTATGAATGTCTTTGCAGCACCGTTTGTGAACAGTAAGGTTCATTAAACAATATATTAGCACTAGGAAGTCAAGTGAATAATTACAAATTCCTATTTTTAAATTTTAATTATAATTAACCACATGTAAAGCCTATCTCATTACAATAAGTTCCTTCAACAACCTGTCTTTTTTATCATGCTGTTACATATCTGTGCACAGCTAATAAACCTGTTAACAATAAATCATTGCCAAAGGATTTTGTAGTCAATACAAACTATTAAAAAACAACAACTTAGCAAAATAAAAGGCATGTTAAGTATCACAAAATGTTTGAAAATATACACAACACCACTAAAAACCAGCTGACTGGAAATTTTGCAGATGCTGTTATTTGGTCAATGTGGTTAAATGAACCCCCCCAGAAACATGTCTTTCTTCATGAGTGTTTTGTCACAAGACTCGAGTGCTTCAGTTCTCTCTTATCACTGCTATATAACAATATCTCTTCAGACAAAGGATGGCTGAAAATGTTTATTTCAACTATTTGTCAGACCCCAAACTGACATCGGCGGATAAAGATGAGAGTAAGTGTGTTTTTCTTGTCCATACTAACTGACTTTTATAGAATATTGACTTGACTTATCATCTTCCCCAAAGATGCTCACAACATTAAAACACTTTAATCAAGTTGTCAGTGTTTAATGTTTTGATTTTCCTTCCTTTCTCCTGCATTCGTACTGAATTTCAGTACCTCTAATTCTCCTTTGTCAATTATTTGTTATGCAGCCACATTAAGGTTCGAACTAAAACTGTTTACTTGTGCTTTCTCAATTTAGAAGTAATATGAAATATAATTCTGAATATAATATATATTATTATATACATATTACATATATTATTTGTGTAATAGTGCTTATATTTGCTTATGCAGGGCACTGTTATGAACCAATGCTGAGGAAATTCTCTGTTCTCCTTTTCCTGTCTCTGTTGGCGAATGGAGTGTTGGCATACCTGTGTATGTATCTTATGTTTTTTTATTTTATTTAATTTTGTATGCTATTTTATTATATGCTATTTGATTAGTGACCTACAATTTTGCAGCATAACGTTCCATTTATTTCCAGGTTTAGATAAGGTTTTAAAACCGTATTTTTCTAAAGGGGTCTTAGACATTTGGACCCATTGTACATATGTATTAAATATCAGCATTTGCATATTTGATTTTTTTCACTACACCGTAATACTTTACAGATCACACCAAAAATGCAAATCAGTATTGTGAACCAAGAAGAAACTGCTTAAATTCAGGTAAATAATCATTTCTCCTCATCCAAAGCTGTACACATTACCGTGATAGTCTTACCAATTTCGCTCTTTCCACAGGCTTGCCTTTAGATTCTCAACCAATAATGAAAATAAATTCCATGATTATTAAAAACCACAGTCTACCAAACTACTGTTCAGGTACAGTAAAGCCATATCATATGATTATGTGTTCATAAATAAGAAAAGCGTCTACATATAAAAACGGGCAGAGCGTGACAGCTCAACTGTAGTTCAGTTACACACTGTGTTTTCTCTGTTTCATTGTATACTTGTCATTTGTATATTTCTTAAATCAGAATTGGATTAGTAACACCATTTATTAAATAAAGCAGAAGTACACTAGATTAAATACAGTTATGCACTTCTTTTGTAGATATTTCATTTCTTCTCACCTATCTGGTTTCAATTTTCAGCTTAACCACATACTAAGATTTTTTTTTTTTGAGTGCACTTCCTGTACATCTTTATTAAGCTAAACTGTCTATGCAGATTTACAAGAGAAGTGGATCAGAGCGCAGGGCAGATTCTATGTTTTCTCCACTGATGTTATGGACTGGAACAACAGCAGACAGCGCTGTCAGGATCTGGGTGGAGACCTGGTCATCATCAACAATAAAGACGAACAGGTACAGATTAGGAGCAGTGTGACGATGACAGAGATAAAGAGACACTCATAGTCTACAGTTTAAAAGTAATACATTTTGGGTTTCATTATGCTAGACAAAGACAAAAACACTTTTTTTCTGTGTTGTAGGAATTTCTTTCTAAAAGAGTAAATGGTATCAGTGATTATCACTGGATTGGCCTGACCGACAGCCAGACGGAGGGAATGTGGCTTTGGGTGGACAACAACCCCTTAAACGACAACCTCTCGCAAGTATCATTTTAAAACCCTCTCAGGACATTATTAAAATTCTTCTTAAAATCTGTAAGAATAAGTGACAAATAACAAACCACTGACGCTGATTTTTTTTACAGTTGTTTCCCATAAATTTGTTCTTGACCTCATGTATGTAATTAATCATTATTATAGATGGGAGTCTCCCCCAGATGACTGGAAGAGTGAAAATCCTTTGCATGGTGAAGACTGTGTTATCTTAAAGGGAGAAAAATGGGGGGACGTTTCTTGTTTGAGGAAACAGAAGAGGATCTGTGAGATTCCATGCTCTCCACCTCAGTGACACAGATCTAAAAGAAGTAATTAGATCACTTTTATTGCTTGTATTTAGACTGTATTTAGTTTTCTTTAAACTTTAAACCTGTTGTCATTTCCATCGAATGTGTTGTGAGTTGTAATAGGCTATCATTAGTGATCATGTATCATGCATATGTTATATTTGTAAATGAAGCCATACATTTACACCGTGTGTACTGTATACAACAAGATTGTTGCATCCCATTCTGTTTTATATACTATCTTTTTCTTAATTCTATTCCAAACTTGTTTTCTTAAAAAGCCAAAATGATGACATTTGTTGGCAAAATAAAGTAAATTATTTAAATATTGCCCAGTCATTTGCATGCAACATGCCAAAATTAAGAATTCATGCAATAAGCTTCAGACAATAGCAATCAGAAATGCTGACATACTCTGAGGAAGGCTGGAGGCCAAAGGTTTTTGTTTATCTATTTTTTTTTTTGTTACTTTTTTATTTTAACAATTTTAGTCCTAATGTGACCATGCAGCCAAAATAAGAATAAGGCTTTGTAACCCATTGTACTAGAAGTGCCTTATATATATATATACATATATATATA